AGAATAAAATTAGTGAACGATAAAATGCGACAAAACAAACAGTAATAAAACCGGATACCGAAATACCGCCGAAACCAAAAGCGTAGACTGAATCACCGGACAGAGCGTCAATTCCAAAATAAATCTCTGTATCTGAAACGGCTTGAATCATCTAAAACACGAGGAAAAGGACTATAATCCCGATTAAATCACTCTGGCTGTAAAAATGCATAGTATGCGGTATGCAAATGCAAATGCTGATGAAACGAAACATAAGCCAAAAACGAGAAACAGTCGGTCAAATTTTGGGGTGCAACAGTCGTGACCATTCTGTGGAGCGCACTATGATGACGCGTGGGCAGTTCCTGCAACACGTGAACTGGCCTGTGGTCAGGCCTATTTTCGGAAAGGGGGCGGGTGCTTCTGGTTCTGGTGGTGTTGGCACTGAGGTAGATGCTAATGATGATGATTCTTCTTCTGGTTCTGAGAGTGTGGAAGAGACCGAGTCCGAAGAGAACTAAGTCTTTGATCTTTTGATTTTATTGCTTTATGTTTCAGATATTTTGTTTTGTTATTTCAGATATTTGGGTTGTGTACTATTTTGGGGTGTTTTTCCCCATGCACATTTTATTTTGTTTGAAGTAATGTTAAATTTTTATGTTTAAATTATTTTTTTTCTTTTAAGTGATTTTTAATAATTTTCTGGTTGTTGAGCTGTTGAAACTTCTAGATTGGTTGCTCTCCAAAAAGAAGTATCCAATGAAGGTGGATCCGAGTTTGGATGACAATGATAAAAATAAACAAGCGAATAATACTAAGGTACATGGTTACCTTTGGTTAGAATTTTAGAATGCATTAAGAACTTTAATCTTGTCATAAATAAATATTGTTCTTTTTGCAACATTGTTGAATGAATGGTTCACCTAGGACTTAGAACCACAAATTGTGAGGAAACCTCCATTGTACACTAAATGCTGGATTCTAATAAACTGTGTTGATTCATTTGATTCGTGCTTTGTCTTTTATTATTGTGATTTTGTGGAAGCAATTAGAAATGATCAAGGCGCTTGTTTTTTTATTAAGCACAACCAGTTCCAAAAGCAACTTACACGTGAGCAGAGAGTATTCGTAAACCGGATTCTAAGCAAAAGTTAATTCGTAAACCCCTTGAGCCTAAACAGTATGAATCTCGGCTTTAAATTGTGCGAGATTCCAAAAACTTTTTTCTTGAACCCCGAAATTTGATGTTAATTGTTCTTTTTGCCTTTAAAAAATTAAGAGCATTCACTTGAGGTTTGAGTAAAAGATAAGTTGGGGAGAACGAAAATGAAATTTGGTAGTTTGCCACAACTCTTAAAAAACCGAGCAAGCATTGAAAAAAAAAGAAAATTTGTTATGTGAATATTAATGTAAAAAAAAAAAAGAGAAAAAGAATGTTTGCTTGGAAGAAAAATAGTGAAAAACAAAAATAAGTTGTGAAATAAGAGTTGGGATGGTTTCAAATGAGAACAAGTGGAATGAAGTTGGGATGCGTGAATAACTTGTATAGTGAATGTCTCTTTTGCATCGGCAATTTCATTTCCATGGCCTTAGATGTCCCTTGTTTGTAAACCCAACCAAGCTACAACCGGAAAAGACCTTAGTGATCTTCTTGCTTCCATATTTTCATTTATAATTGTTAGATGTTGTATGAATTGAATTGATTTTGGCATTGTTTGTTAGAGAGTGAAATTGTCCCCGCAGTTGCAAACGCGTAATTTCTTCAATCCTTATTCAAAGAGGAGAGATAGGGTGATTCATTCAGAATAACATTTTTGTTGATTGATATATGTTTTGCATTGCTTTAAGACTTTAGTTCTTGTGTGTTGTTTTAGTCTAACCATTGGGAAGTTGTGTCTGGCGGAAATTCTTGTGTTTGAGCCATTTGATTCAATTTCGGAGAAATCTATTTCTTAAGAAAATCCTCTTGTTCATCAAGAGGCATACTTTGCTTGAGGGCAAGCAAGTTCCTAGTTGGGGAGAGTTGTTAGATGTCCAATTGTGCTTATCAAATGTGGGTATCTTTCACTCCTTTTTTGTCAAGAAAGTGTTCAAAATCACTCTTGCTTTGGTTGGTTTGCAACTTTGTGTGAAAGTATCTTGGTACCTTTAATTTGTGTGTTATTGTGCAGGAATTTGGTATGAAATAGTGAGAACCAAGACACAAGAAAGATGGCAAGGAAACCAAGACAACAAGCAAACACCAGCAAGTTTGCTAGGCGAACTGGCCAGCGAAGCTCCCTCCTAAACTTCACAAAGTTCGCTAGGCGAACTATGTAGCGAAGGCCAAGAATCCAAAACAGCAAGGAAAGGGTCATAAACTCGCTAGGCGAGGGAGGCAGCGAAGCACTCGCTAGGCAAAGAAGCAGCGAGTAACCAACGAACACTCCCAGACTTAAAACAGCAAGGAAAGGGCCATAAACTCGCTAGGCGAAGTTCACAGCGAAGGCTTCGCTAAGCAAAGGATTACTCGCCAAGCGAACTTTTGGAAACTTGTTTGGGGAGAATTCACAGTGCACAGGTACTTCAGGTGGCACTTTTGGGGTGCGCTAGGCGAACCACTTTGTTCACCTAGCGAACATGACAGCTCATATGATCCTTCTATAAGTAGCATGAACTACCTTTTGTAAAAATATCTAATTTTTTGTACTTGCATTTGAGAGGATTTTTCTGACCTAGAAACCCATTCTTTCATTTATCATCATCTCTTAGCAATATTTCACAAAAAGAAGGTGGATTCCCATCCATTATCGATTATTCGACTCAGATGTTGATCAACCTTCTTCTGAAACTTGTTGCTCAAGCTATCATGGAAATGAGTGGCTAAATCCCTCTTTTGTCAAGGTTAGGAGTAGTTAGTTCATATTTTATGTATTCTTCTTAATCTTTTGTATGTGAACAATGTTATGATCAATGTAGATGAAGTTATTTGCTACTATTTGTACATTTATGGTTTGGATTGCTTTAGACATGAACTTTCCAAGTCTTGACCTAATATCTTCATCTATCAACTATACAAATGCTAGACATAGATTTGAAAGTTGATATCCACTTTGTATCGATCTTAATGATTATTGTTTCGATTGTTATTTAGAGAGATCATTTAACGGTCGAAACAATAACATTTACGAAACCGCTTTAAAGATGAACGTTTTTGCGAGGATATGCGGTTATGTTGGTTAGAACTTCGTTCACATTATTTGATTGGTTGGATATGTTTAGGACGGACTAGCGAACCCTAATCTTGACATGCTTTTATCAAACTTAGACCGACTTTTATTCTGTTTTAATTCTTGCAAACTTATGTTACGAAATTGAAACCATTATAAACCCCCCCTTTTTTCTTAAGTTATTAAACCGTTGAACGACAAGCATCTATATTCTCTTCAATCCCTATGGATACGATAAAACACTACCGTAAAATACTTTCTAACAGAGGCAACTGGTTGTTCTCGTTTCTTTTGGAAAAAATATTGATTTTAAAAATAGAAACGTTTCTTTTATTTTGTTTTAGACAGATGCTTGGAATTCTGGTGGTGTTTTTCGGGACAAGTATCCTGATTTATTCATGGCCAATAGCAGCAAGGATGCATTGGTTTGTGATATGGGATTTTGGCAAGGAAACGTGTGGCATTGGAAAAACTTTGGTTTGTCCATTTCTTTGAGTGCAAGAATGATTTTGAGTCAGGAATCCCTCGTCCAGACGTTGAGCAACAGTGGTCCGGTTTTTGGGACAATGGACACAGTTCGTTGGTTACCGGATGTCCTTGTCGGCTATAAGGAGGTGTTGTGAAAACGTTTTATGAATTGGATATGGGTTGATGTTTTAAAAGTGTGAAAAGGGGAAACCCCGATATTATATGGTCGGCGGTGGTGTGGAATATCTGGAAAGTTAGGAATGCCATTCTTTTCATGGGAGCTCGATGTAGTATTTCTGATCTATTGTGGAATATAAAACTAAAGGCTTGAAAATGGTCAGTTATCAGAGAAAATTCTTATTCCAACTGCAACTTTTCGACTTTTGTTGGGAACCGTTACTTCGTATGTTTTAACTTTCAGTTGGTTTGGATTTTTCACAGTCTTTTGCATTTCCTTTTGTATCAAGGGTTAGAGTACCTCTAATACTCTGTTTCATTTATATAATTCTTCCTTAAAAAAAAACACTAGATTTTATGAATATAAAAGACTACTTAATATTATTATTATTATTTATTATTATTATTATTATCATTATTATTATTATTATTATTATTATTTTATTATATTTTTTAAATATATTAGTTTCTTTTAATTTGTATTAAATACTATCTAAATCAATTTTGAAATTAGTCAAAAATAAATATAAAAAAGATATATCTAGAATCAACTTTACATAACAAAAGTAGAAAAATTACAAAAGTGGATAATAGTTTTGGTGGTTTGGAAGATGTGTTTCTGGTTTTGTTTAGGAGCCGCAGTATTGTTGTTTTGGATATTTTTTAGTTTCTATGTATAATTCGTAATACAATTTATCTATTTTTTATTATATATATTCTTATATTTTACATTTTTAAAATCTATATTATATAAAATCATTTATGAATTACTTTATAAAATGACCATTATTAATATAGTTATTTAAAAAAATAGAATTAATAATAAATTACAAAAAGAACATAAACACCGACATTTTATTAATATTATAAAATAACATATAATTTATAAAACAATTACATTTCTTTAAAAAGATATATTGGTGAGAATTTAATTAGAATGCGCTGATCGTGTAAAATAAACCAATCACTCTCATATATTCTGCTATATCAGACTGTAAATTTTAAACTAATAATATGACATGACAGATTTACACCGTTAGTGCATACCAATTAAACAATATTTGTGATAGGTAAATTTAATAATATTCAATGAAAATTAAAAAATATAATTATAAGTTAACACTATAAAATGGGAGAGTGCAATGTCACAAGCACAATTGTGAAAAAATGTCGAAGGACAACACTGGTTCATTTGAAAACATTGAACCTCCAACACCAATACAAGCTTCTTCTGAAACATCTCAAGTGCCAACCCCAATGGTGAACAATGTTGATGATTATGAATACCTTTATGTAACAGAAGCACTTTCTGCTTATCCAAATTGTTACACCACTGAATGGGATGACATGTTTGAGAGTGCTAGGGCACCTGTGTGTGAGGATTTATCTACCTATTTTTTCAATCCTCTTAAGCCACAGTTACCTTTGAGTGTTCTCATACCAAGTGAGCCACAAAACACTAGTGTTGGTGACAGTCTTGTTGACTCTTCCAAATTGGTTGTGGATAAACCTCACAACCAAATTTTGGATTCTGCAGCAGCTGATTCATCTCTCAAGCCGAGGAAACGAGGCCGGCCGAAGAAAATTAAAACTGATGTTGTTGCAGGGTCGTCACAAAAGGTGAATCAGCTCAGTCTTGAACCCAAGAAGAAACGTCTTCCCAAGTCCAAATGATCTAGTTGATGTATTAGTATATCCATGTTACTTGTTTTTAATAAATATGTTTGCTAGCAGTTAAAAGGAAGAAAATAAAATCAAATAAATTATCAGTAATAATGGTCCTATTTGTATTTTGAAAGTATTGATATGAAAATCTTTGTTGAGTATATTGCTAAGGAATTTTTCAGTTCAGATTATATTTACCCAAATTGCGACTCCAATGATGATTATATGCGTCTGTTAAGTTGTGTTCTAATTGCTTATATGTGATGGATATATACTAGATCACAAAACCAATATAATTTAATCATTTTTCTATAATGGACTAAATATTGTCTTCTTTTAAGATTTTACTCTATTATAGTGATTAAACACATAGGAAAAACCGAGGCATGAAATAAATAAAAATTATGTGATTAAAGTATTTTTTTAAAAATCTTATATTAAGTGATGAAGAGAAAGAAAATATGTTTTGATATCGCAGAAATTATAAATTAATTTGGAAGTCAAAAATGGTCAGCGTCAAAGTTAGTTCGACACAGGAGCCAGTGCATAGGGTTTAATAGTTGGCAAGTGGCGCTTGTTGGCAATAGTAGTGGTTTGGTTGGTTTTGACGGACAATCTGGGCTCTCGAGTATCAAATTCGATCAAGACAATTTTCATGTATCGGTTTTAGTTGTTTCTGTTTGTCGATCAATTTGTTAATGAGTTGTGTTTTGAACTTGTCGATTATTCATTGAATTTTAGTAGTTATTGTTGGAAATTCCCTCACTCCCTATGAAGAATTCCCTTCAATCTTGATCTCAAGATTGATGAATAAACCCACAATATGATAGTAATGGTAATAACAAGTAATTATCAAGAACAGAAAAGAAAAGAAGAATAACAAAACAAGAAAGAGAAGAATGAGAGAAGAAGTACTTTGAGAGAATGTGTTACCCACAACTGTGGGATTTCTTATTGAACTTTCACTTGCTAACTGCAACTGTGAAATTTGTTCTGTTGTGATGTAGAATACAAAGCAAGGCACCCTATTTATAGTTTTAGGGTTACACTAGCGCAAAACATAAAAGGCCCAAAATATTCTAAATCAAATCTAATCATATGATATCAAATCTAATCCTATGAAATCAAATCTAATCATATGATATCTAATCATATCATATCAAATTAGTCATATGATATCAAATCTAATCATATGATATCAAATCTAATCTAATCATATGATATCTAATCATATCAAATCAAATCTGTTTACACAATGAATTATATTTAACACACCACCTAATTTATTGTGTCTAAACTGTCTACATTCATCATGGCCCACTTCACGTCCATCTGACATGTGTGCCAGTTGTTCATATTTGCTAGACCAACAACCAACCTGATTATTTCGATTCTAGCAGCAGGTGCGAATACTTCATCGAAGTCGATTCCTTCCTTCTGAAGAAATCCTTTCGCCACAAGTCTCGCTTTGTGTCGAGTTACTTCTCCTTTAGGATTTACCTTCACCTTGTAAACCCACCTCACATCAATTGCCTTCTTGCCTTGCGGCAATTCGACAAGTGACCAGGTATCATTGACTTCAATGGACTCTAACTCTTCAATCATTGCTTTCACCCACTTCGAATCTTTCAATGCCTCAGCTGCATTGACTGGTTCGACATCTGCGTAGAAAGCATAATGTACCAGCTCACCCTCTTCATCGACTACATCATCTGATGTGATTACACATTCTTGCAACCTTGCAGGCATGTGTCTTGTTCGTCGACGTCTGCTTGAACCTGCTTCATCTGCAACTGGTTCCTGTCGAACTTCTATTTCGACTTCAGTGGCTGGTTCTTCACAAGATATTCTCACTGAATCCTTCTTGGCATTCTCGGTCCAATCTCATTCTTTAAGCTCATCTATGATCACGTCCCTGCTGATCACTACTTGCTTATTCATTGGGTCGAACAACTTGTAACCTCCTGTCGAATGATATCCTATCAAGATCATCTGATCCGACTTATCATCAAGCTTCCTTCTCAACTGATCTGGCACATGTCTATGTGTTATAGATCCAAACACCTTTAAGTGACTGAGACTAGGCTTGACACCAGACCAACATTCTTCTGGTGTGATTCCTTCAAGCTTCTTCGTTGGACATCTGTTCAATATATATGTTGCTATCGAAACTGCTTCTCCCCATAATTTTTTAGGTAGATGCTTTTCATTCAACATACTTCTCACCATATTCATGATGGTTCTGTTCTTGCGTTCTGCAATCCCATTTTGCTGTGGAGTGTAAGGTGGCACCACCTCATGCACAATCCCTTCTTTTACACATAGTGTATCGAACTCTTTCGACACATACTCTCCACCACCATCAGTCCTCAGAATTTTCAGCTTTCGACCACTCTGTCTTTCGACCATGGACTTGAATCTGGAAAATACCTCAATCACATCACTTTTCTTCTTGATGAGGTAAGTCCACAGCTTTCGACTGTAATCATCTATAAACGTGACAAAGTATCTATTGCCACCAATCGAATCCACCTGGATTGGACCACATATATCAAAGTATATGACTTCAAGTATTGCCTTCGACTTCCTTCCTGCATCCTTGCTGAAGTTATTCTTGTGTTGTTTCGACTGAACACACTCCTCACATACTTCACTTGGAATGTCGATTTCTGGTAATCCTGAAACCATATTTCTTTTCTTCAGTTCTCTGATGTCATTAAAGTTGAGATGACCTAGTCGAAAATGCCATAACCACTCATCTCTGCTGGCTGCAGTTGCTAGACACTTATGCTCCATCACATTGAGTCCAATCTTGAAGGTCCTATTCTGAGACATTGGAGCCTTCAAGATTAATCTACCACTTGCGTCGAGAACTCTCATCATCTTGTCTTCGACAACTACCTTGTAGTTCTTTTCGACAAGCTGCCCTATACTGAGCAAGTTACTCTTCATGCCTGGTATGTACAACACATTGGAAATTGTTAATCTTTTGCCATCTTTCCTCATAATCAGAACATCACCAACACCTTCAGCTGCTAGAGTGTTATCATTTGCAAACTTCACTGTGTTCTTCGACGAGGACTTCATGTTGACAAACCAATCTTTCCTTCCAGTCATGTGTGATGAGCATCCTGAGTCCAAGTACCACTAATCTTGGAATCTTTCTTCATCTTTTGTTGTAACCATTAGCAACGTTTCTTCTTCTTCATGTTTCGCCAGCTTTGCATCAGTCTCTTGATTTCTCTTTCTTTGTGGATATTACCAAACAAGTGTTGTTATTATAAAAAACGTTTATCAACTCGAACGCGAAATGCATAATACATCAACTATAGAAGTAGAATAATAGAGGGCGACATAATAACTCGTATTGATATAGTTGAAATATATTTTTAGTATATATTTGTAGTGTGACTACTTTTATTAATGTTTGAAATGATTCTATTGTTATTAAATTGGATATATAATTTTAATAAGTCTGATCAATATTGTAAAATGGCTTATACTTATGTATTTCTCCCGGTAAAAAAAATAAAAATAAAATTATATATATATATATATATATATATATATATATATATATATATATATATATATATATATATATATATATATATATATATATATATATATATATATATATATATATATATATATATATATATATATATATATATATATATATATATATATATATATATATATATATATATATATATATATATATATATATATATATATATATATATATATATATATATATATATATATATATATATATATATTGGATATATAATTTTAATAAGTCTGATCAATATTGTAAAATGGCTTATACTTATGTATTTCTCCCGGTAAAAAAAATAAAAATAAAATTATATATATATATATATATATATATATATATATATATATATATATATATATATATATATATATATATATATATATATATATATATATATATATATATATATATATATATATATATATATATATATATATATATATATATATATATATATATATATATATATATATATATCAATAGCTCAGGACACCAATAATTGAAAAGAAATATAAAACACTTCAAAATATATGTATGTATGCCTATTGGTTTGCTGGATTATCCAGAATAAAAGTATAATATTGAATTGATATATATATATATATATATATATATATATATATATATATATATATATATATATATATATATATATATATATATATATATATATATATATATATATATATATATATATATATATATATATATATATATATATATATATATATATATATATATATATATATATATATATATATATATATATATATATATATATATATATATATATATATATATATATATATATATATATATATATATATATATATATATATATATATATATATATATATATATATATATATATATATATATAAAATAAAGTTAGAACAATAAATAAGTTTTTAAAATAAAGTTTAGGATTTAGGGTTTATAAAATAACGTTCAGAAAATGGAAAAGTTAGTACAATAAATAATTGTATTATTTTATGAACTTTATAAAGAAGAAATAAATTTATAAGTTTTAAACTTGAATATATATATATATATATATATATATATATATATATATATATATATATATATATATATATATATATATATATATATATATATATATATATATATATATATATATATATATATATATATATATATATATATATATATATATATATATATATATATATATATATATATATATATATATATATATATTGTTTAAGAAAAACATTAATTATTGAATTATTGAAAGCAGAGAGATATCATAAAGGTTAAATAAAGATAGAAATAGAATCCTTAAAAGTTAAATTTAATAATTTAAAAAGCTAGGAATATAAATGTGTTTGGATACATGACAAATGTAAAGGTAAAATAAAAAGTTTTGTAATATAAGTTGTTGGTATAGTTAGAAATGAGAATTTACAAATATTTGATAAGGGAC